GCTGATTGTGGCTACATGTGGCGCTCCCTTTAAAGGTGGGTAGAGTAGGTCAGTGTTTCCCAATCCTGGTCCTTAAGGCATCCTATCCTGCATGTTTTCCAAGTTTCCCTGTTCCAGCACACCTGATTCTAACGAATGGGACTTTAGCAACTCTTTTTTTTTTTTAATTAATTTATTTTTTTTATGGCGGTTGCCAAGCAACGTTTAGATGACAGTAATTTATTTAAAATAGGAAAACATCAAACTGGAAGGTGTGATTTTTTTTTTTTTTTTTTTTTGTGTCAAGAAGAGACGGTAAAGCATGTTTTGTTGTTCTGTACAAAATATTCTGTTGAGAGAAGGAAAATTAGTTAGTCGGTTACAAGAAAATAAATTAAAGTTAAATTTACAAGATAATTTAGGAAAAAAATCTACTTCTAAAGATATAAGTTATATAATTATCTCAAGAAAACAAAATTGATAGAAAATATATAATTTTTTTTTGTTTGTGTTTTGTTTGTTTGTTTTGCTTTGAAGGGAGTATTTAAAGTTAGCATCCCGATCCATACTCCATTCCAGTAGATGGCGGTAATGCACATCTATAAGTTGCTTGCCAACCACCATAAAGAAGAAGAACGTTTAGATGTGCATTACTGCCATCTACTGGAATGGTGTGTATCGGGATGCTAACTTTAAATACCCCCTTCAAAGCTAAACCAAACAAAGAAAAAAAAAAAAAGAACTTGTATCTTTTCTATCAATTTTGTTTTCTTGAGATAATTATATTATATCTGTAGAAGTAGAATTTTTTTTTCTTAGGCAACTCTCTGCATAGCTGAAAAGTAATTCCATTTATTAAAATCAGGTGTGCTGGAGCAGGAAAACTTGGAAAACATGCAGAACAGGGTACCTTTAGAACCAGGATTGGGAAATACTAGAGTAAGTTATTGTTCAATACAACAATTGTTCCTTGTTGAACTCACTGTATTTCACTCAGGCTCAAAGGACCAGAGCAGCAGTGGCTCAAATCCGGCAGCTAACTCTGGTTCTTACCGGAGAAGACCTGCATCTGGATCCTACGGTGGATCGACTGGTTCCTCTGTGGCTCCTGCCTTGGGTCTGTCTCTTGTGGCTTCTCCAAGTTTTCCCGGCTCCTTTGCTCCGGGGCAGGTGGTTGCACAAGCTCCTGGTTTCTCCACATTTCAAGCTGACCCCAGACTCGGTGGCTCTGGCTCACTTGTACCAGCTCAAACAGTTGTGCAGGCCCCTGGTGTCCCTCAACTTGTTCAGCCGGGTCCGTTTGTCGGCTTGAGCCCGGCCCCTGTGGCCTCGTATGTTCCTGTTGGTGTCGGATATGATTCTGGGTCCTCAGACCTTGGAGACCCATCTGGAATGGAAGGTAATGTCTCTGACCTGGTCCAGTGGTCTTGCATTTAACTCATTGACTGGCAGCCATTTTCAGAACAGGGAGTCCCATACTGCCAGAGTTTTTTGACTGATTTTTCAAGAGCCACAGAATAGTTTGTGCTATGACTATGTAAACACCGAACACACCAAAAGAAAGAGTAGACTCTCTTCTTTCATCAGGAAAAAAAGTGTTTCTACTTTATTCCGTTCTTCGACGTGCGTCTCACAGGCGCCATTTCTCGCATAGCGAACCATTGCGTTTGTTTTTATTTGCCTACAGTCTATGCTCATCTCCCATCAAAAGTGGCACAGCTACCTAGAGGGTAAATTTGTTTGTTACTACATACTCTGTCTGGAAGCCGATATTTACGGAAAAACTTTCGCCGATCGGATTTGAATTGACGTCTATAGACGTCTTTGGCAGCGAATGAGTTAAATGAACTTCTTAATCCTGAATTATTTTCCTCTGATACCCAGAGACCGCCTGGGCTGTTTCCCCCCAGGACTTCTCTGGTCTGGATGCATCAGGAAACGCCCAGGCCCTAAACCTTGGGGATGTTCTTCCTGCCCCCTCTCTGCCTCAATCTGGACCCGTCCTCCAGTCGGGGGAGACCTCCAGTGTTGTGAAGGAAGCTGAACTGGGAAACTACCAGCAGCAGACCGAGGAATTCGGCTACCCAGACGACCTCCAGGTCTCTGGGCCTGGATATCCAACCGTGCTCGTACCCCAGTTCGGTGTGGGTGGTTTCCGAGGTTCTCCGTACCCCAACTTTGACTACAGGCTCCTGTATGGTCGGTACCCTCCTGGAACCTACAGCACCTTCGGCCAACAGAACGAGAAAGGCAAGGACTACTCTCAGGAAGTCCACTACTTGACCGAGCACGTCAGTGATGGTGACGGCTCTGGGCAACAGAAAAAGTTCTTCCCAGGAGCTCAGTAGGTCTCTGAAAGCTGGTCAATGAAGTGAGTAAAAGGTACAGTATGTTCAGAAAGGGCCATAGTAAATGGCTTCTACATGTGGATGCTTGAACTAACTCGGTTCTCCTTCCAGGTTGGATGTGGGCATTAACTCTTCATGCTTTTAATCCAATAAAATGATCACAAACTCCAATGCTTGACTGTTTCTACTTTATTGAATGAACAACTTTGGACTGCTGGCCAAAGCTGTCACTATTCTGTAAAGAGAATAATGGACATTTTACAACCCCATGCATGGATTTATTTAAAGGAGAAATGGTGCATTTGCCACATTTTCTTCAGGGGTCTTTGAAAGATTATTTTGAAGGGCGCAGGACTTTACGAAAAGGAAAAAGTAATAGTGTTGAAATGAAATGTCCTAGTATGTGTAGTAGGGTTAAACCAGCTATCAATTCCACACAGTGGACAATAATAATGAAGCAGTTCATTAAGATGCTGTTCAGACTTTTGACCAGCAGGTGGCACCAGAGATGAGCTTCCAGCACTGAAGCATTTTCCATCAATGCTTCAAAAAGCTATATTTGGACATCTGCAGTTCATAGTAACAGTAGTTTAGAGAACTAAATCCAATAAACTGTTAAAGCTTTAAAAGGAAAGCTTTTTTGGAAAATAAAGTACTGTTATACAATAAAACAATATTTCCACAAAAATGCTGACTGGTAACTTGAACTTGCAACAGCTCATGTCAGTTAAGAACAAAAGTTGTATTGACAAAAATTCTGCTATGACGAAGAATAATAAAATAACTATGTAGATAAGAGTATAGGTGTACTGTGTAGTTCCCTTTTCTTAACTACCATGATCTAATCGTATCTATCGATAGTGGTAATACTGTATTTTCACTAACTAGCGTTAACTCATTGAAAATGTTTCCAGAAAAGCCTTCTGTTAGGTTTTTTGTCTATTTTTTAAACATCTCTTTTTTCAGAAATGCTTTTTGGATACTGACATAATTTTATAAGAATGCCACTTGATACAATAAGTAACTTTATTTTATTCTCAGGCATTTTTTAGAGTGATGTTTCTGAAAGGTTGTGTTTTAATTATTCTTTAAGGTTGCCTCTGAACAAATATGTTAATTTTTCTGTTCCATTCTGTTTTCCAGCACTGTGAAATATAATCTACCTTATACAATGTAGTGGGAGATGATTATATC